TTTTTTTTTCCTGAACTGATGAATATTTTGAACTTTTATTTTACATTTTCGTTAAAATTTCCAGTTTCAGTTTTGATTTTAATTTTAGTTAATAATTTTGCTATGTGCATGTGTCATTTTTACTTTTTACAATATTTGCAAGTGTAGATTGTTTCTGCTGTAGCACAAATGTTAGCGTAGGTTTACTTGACAATGCTGGTCTGATAATCCAAATAATCATCTTGCTAGAACAATTACTTTCCATTCATATGCAGTAGAGGCTCTTATTCCAATTCTGAATCATAATGCAGTTGCAGCTATCAGCGTTTCTAGGGTCATAGCCAAACATGCTTTTGTTTTCAGCACTGGAAATAACAAGACTGCTGATGATCTTTATGCTGTTGTGTGTGTGTGTGTGTGAGAGTGTTGCACATGTCTGCATCTGTCTGCGAGACACTGGTTTATAAATAACTGTGGTTGCATAACACAATCCAGCCTGTTTCCGGCTGTTTCTCCTGCATTGCCTTTGATATTTCTCAAACCTAAAAAATAGCAAGTGAAGGGGTATATGGATATGAAATATAATATTCATCAATAATAATAATAATACTTTAATGAATAAAAGCCATTCATCATTAGTGGTGATGCTTAGTAAGCATCACTATTACTAGAGTTTTGAACAAGCCTGAAATGTTAAACTTCTCATCTTGCACTATTGCCCTACAGACATAAATGCAACATAGGCTCATTGGAAAAAAGTGCCTCTTCATACATTTTTGCAAAATTTATGGAAAAACGTACTTATATGTACAATTCACTGCAGTTTCCAGCTGAAATGGACACTAGTGTTATTAAAACAGAAATTATGATTACGGGGTAGATTATTTATTAATAAATACTTTTTTGCACGTTTTTTGCACAATAATATGTTATGACCTCAAACCATTTACATCATAGTGCATGATTTGTAAACTATTACATTTTAATGTGTATTTTACATAACCATTTCGATATGTATGGCTTTTCTAACGAAGTAAACTTGCTCGGTAGCCCACCTGGTACAGCTGGTAATTATAATGTAGAGCAATAGGTTAAGAGTCCCATGAAACACAATTTGTAAATAAGAGGATCAAAGACATAGAAGCAAGCTAAATGGCATGGTTGTTTCAGAAAATACATTTTTTATCTCACATGTGCTTTTGTTAACAATATCAGTTATGTTTAGGGTAAGGTTTAGCTTAGAACATTAAACTCTGCACAATAGTGCATTAATCTTTTAACACCACTTACCAGATTGAATTTAAGTTCCAAACTTTAGCAATATGTACAACAACCAAGGCAATAATGCATTGCCAGATTTACTGTTTCAGATATATTTATCTGTTTTGGATAAAAATGAAGACCTTTTTAGCACCACTCACTAGACATTTCATTTTGAAAGGGTCACAAAAAGTGCAAGAAGCAGCAACATTTAATTCTGCAGATATGTTGCCACAGGCACATTTTCACAGTGAGTCTGGGATAAAATAGTATTGCATAAATAGTGTCTAAAATCATCCATTTTAATGATGAAAACTGTGTAATTACTTGTCTAAGTGATTAAACTTGGAATTTTCACCTGGCAGACGATAAAGCAAACAGAAAATCCCCCTCTGACTTACATTAGATGAAAGAGCCAAAACATATCAAGAAACCTTTGCAGAATATCAGTCCTACAATAGAGGAATCATTTTACTTAAAAAAACATATAGCAACATCTTAGCAACCAATTCCTGAAAACCTCTCACAATACCATACGACAGGAACCAATTGCATTTTCCTTACAACGTGTAAAGATTCCACAAGTTTACGACAAATTACAATGAATGCATTTCTGTCAGGACCACTGTCATCAAAGATGATTGACAATTAGCATACAGTTTGGATTGGCGGTATGGTTCTGTTCTGGGCAAGAACTCCCTGCGCATCCATGCAGCCTAGCATGGATGAGAGCAGGGAGAGCAGCGATAACCCCCACAGGTTAAACAGAACAGAACCAATATAAATGTATTGCAGATATCGTTAAAGTTCAATAACGTTATGTACACATTTTAGAATTAGTCTGATTCAAAGGAGAATCAGAAGGCTGAATCCTGACTGACAGAGGAGGAGCTGGGGATGGAGGAGGGTAATTAGCTATTGAGCAATGCGAAAACTGCTGATAATACTGAGGGACCTTATATATGAATGCTTAGATAGGTGTCGTATTCCCATAGGTAGATGGGGATCAGCTGAGAGTCAGCTGATGTGAGCTTGACTAACGTGACCTGCCAGAACTAACGCTATGCTAGATATACTGTGATGACTTTATATTTGACTGTTTTAATTATATTTCACTTATTTGCAATGGAGAATTTAAAAACCCAATATATTCTGATAGATAATATATGATACAGTCTAAAGGTAACACATGTATGACGTACAAATTAATTAGTTAATTGACAATTATCTAATAAAGCATCATGACTTTTATGACCTTATGATTTTTTTTTGTTTCAGACATCTATTTCAGTAGTATCTGTCAGGTAATAGGGACCTTTTTAAATAAATAAATAACAACACTTTTAATAAGCTGTTTTTACACAAGTACCATCACATTTACAAATGATTCATGATTATGAAAGATAAGCAACAGAAGGGTCTATTTATGAAAATGTGTTAAATAAACATAGCTGTTGTTTGTCTGATTCTTGTATCCTGTTTTTCTCAGCCAGCGTTACTGTATGTGTAACCCAGACGTGGTGCAGCAGTTCCACAATCCTGACACAATCTTCATCCTTGCATTTGCCATCATCCTCCTCAACACGGACATGTACAGTCCCAACATCAAACCTGATCGTAAGATGATGCTGGAAGACTTCATCCGCAACCTAAGAGGTGAGACGAGAAGAAATAGAAAAGAAAGTTGGTTAAAAGCGAGACTGAATTTATTGAAATGCATGAAGGGATGACCAAACACAAAGCCAAACCTATAAACCTATAACTAAAATGTACTAAAGTGTAATTTTTCCTCATTTTTTTCCCTCATGCCTTGCTGTTGTCGAGTGTCATGACTCTCATTTAGCATTTAAGCATAAACAAAACCGAACACTATTCCTTTGCTGCCTTTCCTTCTGTAAATGCAGGTCTAGTTTTCCAACAGCAAGATACACATAACTTTCCACTTTCCCTTCATCATAAGTTAGGTCAGGATCATTTCACTTGACTAAGTGAGTGGGCGAAACCTAATTAAGCATCAAAGTATAATGCTATTGAAAGCGCCCTAAAGCACATTAATTTAATGAAAACAGCCAGTGACATCAGCGCTATGTTAATCTCAGTGTAAACTTTCATTTGCATTACTCTGTGACACAGAAACTCTCTTTACACAAGCGGATCTCACTGTGGCTCCCTGCATTGCTGTACTTTTGTCTCTGAACTCATAACATCACAACTTTTTCCCTTTAAAAAGGTCAGATACAGAGTCACATTATTTTCAAATAATATAAAACTAACAACATTGCAGTAACACTTTATAATATGGCTCCATTTGTTGACATCACTGGATAACTACATTACCTTAAAATGAACTAACTAATGTATTGCTCATTGTTGGTTAATGCACTGCATGAAATACAGAGTTCTGGCATGAAACTCTAGATGGCGCAGTCCGATAGGTCTAACTCAATCTGACCTAATGACATCATTATCACATGGCACAGCTGATTGGTTCTCTCCTGTATCAGTAGCCAATGAACTTTTTGCTCAACATTCAAAAATATGACTAGAGCTTGCCGTAACAGTTGCAGCTTGCTTCAGAAACCCTCCACCTTCCCCAGCTCCACCTGTATAGATCTGCTACGATGTATTCATGTATGCTGGGGGTTATTTCATGTATGTTATATGTGCAGCAGCAGTATTTCTTACATGCTCACAGCAGCATGTTGTGGATGTATCAGCAGTAGCAAGTCTCGGTACTTGTATTTGTATCATGACAGAAATAACATTAACTGATGGGACCTTGTTGTAAAGTGTTACCAATATTACAATATTTTGATATCATCTAAATGCATTTGCTGCCTGTACCTTACAGTAATTGGCTGCAGCTCTGCATATTTTGTCTCTCATTTCCATCAAGCCAAGTTTTTCGCAAATTTTTGACACTGGCTCCACTCTGCTGTCAATTCCACAATCCCCCGTACATTCAACCCTCTCTCATAGGGTAAGAAAAAAAGTATGTTCCATATTCATCTTCTTCATCTCCTCATCTGGTTTTGCATAACATCCCCTGATGTTTTCGTGACTCCTTGAGTCTTCCTAAATTTCATTAGTCTTAATCTGCTTTGCTGCATATTATGTTCATAATGCACATCTAGCCTAGTGGTTAGAAAAAAACACTTTCTCTTAAGAAAAAAAAATCATACAATGGAAAATATAAATATTCGTCCAGACACAGTGTAAATAAATCAGTACAAAAAAGTGCAACATTGTGTGTCAAAGGCTGTTGACCAATGGAGGATATGAAAGTAATACAATAGGACTCTGATTAATTTAATATTTTATATGATATTTATTTATTATGTGTATATATTCAGCACTTTTGATGTGTGTTTTTATTTAGGGGTTGATGATGGTGCAGATATTCCACGAGACATGGTAGTGGGAATATATGAGCGTATTCAGCTGAGGGAATTACGATCGAATGAAGACCATGTCACTTATGTCACCAAGGTGGAGCAAAGCATTGTGGGAATGAAATCGGTGAGTGAAACAGTTTGGGGTTTTCTTTACAGCTAATATTCATGTCATACTGCATCCAAATATATTCTACGTACATGATTCTTAATTTGTCACAATTGAACAGTCAGAGTCGTGCAATAATTTCTTCATCATAACTGAGTATTACTAGTTATGTATGTATGTAATACCCATACAGTATAAAATATGAACATACTGTATCTTTATAACATCTGTGTTCTGTTATTTCACCTCTACCATCTCTAATTGTTGCATGCGTGGAGTGGCATACTATAATAATTAATTGGGCAGTTGGTGATTCATTGCGGCTCATGCCTGTAGCATTGCTGCCATTCCTCATTACTGCAACAGAAGAACAGGAGCACTGAATAACCTCACAGTTTTTCATTCATTAGCTTACCTCAGAATTACCCCTCACTCTTACGTTTCCAACCACACTGCAAAATTAATCAGTTTTTGTCCTTTTTTTGCCAGTAAAAGGCTCAATTTACTTGAGATGTTAAAGTCAATGTTCAGATTTTAAAACATTTTTCGATATTAAAGAAGATTGTTCTAAGTGTGGGTGTTGTTAATTTTTCTTCTGAAACGTATGTTTAAAATACTAATTTATAGACATTATTTTGGAAGGAAAAATAAATTGAATTCAAGATTGTCAAGAAAACAATTTTTCATGTCTTGCACAGTTTTGCCCCTCAAGTAAATGTATCTTTTGTTTAAATTATTATTATTATTTTTTGTAAACTCTTTACCTGCTGTATCTGACAAGGCTGGTCTTGTAGCCCATAAGCTTATAACTAAAGTTTGATAAATGTGCCTAAAGCACTTTACATCATCAGTAAAGCTCAGCATAATTCACTGGCATGGCATTGAGTGTGTATTCATGATTTTTTATGTATTGGTAAATCATGTAAATGCAGCCTGCTCAATTTTGTTAAAACCCATAACCTCTCAAATAAAAAAACAAACCTCTCATTTGCTCTTTCCAATTTGATTCTTAGTCTGTGATATTGCTTTATGTTCCACATTTAAAACTGTCAAAGGTAAAATAAGGTCTCGGTTACGTATGTAACCCTCGTTCCCTGAAGGAGGGAATTCGGAAGCAATACACATATGAACATCCCTTAGGTGCATATGGAAGAATGGAGGTGATTGAACCCTCTTGGAATGGCAGAAGTCTGCCGGGGAAACACGGGCTCAAGGCTATACCGTGGACTTTACACATATGGGATCCACTTAGGTCTTGCATATGGAACCCAGCCTTCTACCGGTTCTCGAGGATTCAGTGAGTGAAGGCCTGGCGCCGGACGCTCCGCTACATCTGGCTGCTGAGGGGACGGAGGAACTCAACAGGGTCTACTATATGGACTCTCTGGAGTGGTTTTTGCAAGCCGACCCGAAGCCGGGGCCTCTCAGTGCTTCTACCCGTTTGAGGTGAGAACACAGGAGGATACCGGCTCCAGACGAAGGCTATAGAATCTAGCGAATGTGTTAGGGGTCGCCCAGCCCGCAGCCCTACAGATATCTGTCAGCGAGGCACCACGAGCCAGTGCCCAGGAGGATGCAACACCTCTAATTGAGTGAGCTCGCAACCTGAGCGGGCAGGGCACACCCTGTGCCTGATAAGCCAGGGTGATGGCATCCACTATCCAGTGGGCCATCCTCTGCTTTGAGACGGCATTCCCCTTCTGCCGGCCTCTGTGACAGACAAAGAGCTGGTCTGAGGTCCTGAAGCTTTGCGTCCGGTCTACTTATCACCTTGAGGCTTGGACGGGACAGAGCAAAACTAGGGCTGGGTCTGCCTCCTCCGAGGGCAGCGCTAGTGCAGCCTGATGTGTGCAACCCACTCGACACGGGAAACCACCACCGCTGAAGCGCCGTCCGCCAACACGAAGAGGTCTCCAAGAGCGTGCTGAACTCGTTCAGTCTTCTTCTCTCCGTAGAGTAGTCAGGAGCAGAACGATGTGATCACTCGGCTCCGAAGCGAAAAGCTGAATATGCGCTGCATCTGCTGCCTACTTATACTCACGCTGTGATCAGCAGCAGCTGGATGCAATACACTCGAAGTAGATTGGATGCAATACACTCGAAGTAGTTTGGTCCCTCTAAGCGAGATCCCAATTCGTCGGTCCTCCGACGTGACTTCGAGAGTGACCGACTGAAAGGGAACCAAAAGTAACAACACTATAAAATTGCAAGATATATACCCATATATACCATATATATGTGTGTGTTTGTGTGTGTGGTTTTAGAGTTAAATGTTGTTACCTTATCGGTTTTAAAAAATGTTCTTTCATTTTTTCTGTCCTATTTCTTATCTGTTCACCAGTACAGACTCAAAGATAAAAAGTTATTTCGCTATAGATCATTTAAGTCTATCCCGCTATCCATCAGCACAGATTTATCTCTCTCTTTTTTTTTTTTATCTAGCAGATTTATGAGAACACCTGCCGCTGTCATTAAAAAGCATTTTAATGGCTTTATTGTTTTGTTCTCAGAATGTCTGGTAAAGGACAATGCTTTAATCCACAAATGGGTGCAGTAATGCATTGTGTGTGTGTGTGTGTGTGTGTGTGTGTGTGTGCGTGCGCATTTTTGTAACAAATGAGGACATACATTTGTATAATGACAAAGGTATGACAGGTATTACAAGGAGAAGGTGAATTTTCAGGACATTACCCCATGTCCCCACTTTTCAAAACGCTTATAAATCACACAGAATGGAGTGTATTGAAAATCTGAAATAGCACAAAGGTTCCTGTATGTGTAGGTTTAGGGGTAGGGTTGGTGTAGGGCAATATAATATACAGTCTGTACAGTATAAAAACCAATACGCCTATGGGATGTCCCCACTTTTCACAAAAACAAACCTGTGTGTGTGTGTGGTTTGTGTGATCAGCTAGAACTTGTCCTCTAGAAACTGTTCATTAGATTGTAATTCTCTTTCTCTTTGTTTTGAATCTAATTCAGGAACATGTATGGTACTTTTATTGCATGTGTGTTTAAAGGATGTTTACATCTTTACTGGTTTTGCTAGCTAATGTTGCTCAGGGCTGCGTTTCCCAAAAGCATTGTAAGCCTAAGTAGACTGTAAAGATCATTGGTGCCAATGCAACCTATATTTATAAGCTTTGTTCCAAAAACTTAGTGAGCTGCCTACTTAGGCAGAGGCACTTTATACAGTTTTACTCTGTGTGCTATGTATTTTTATGCTTATTACAGGGACAATTCACCAAAAAATTTAATTTCTGTCATTAATTACTCAATCTCTTGTCGTTCCAAACCCGTATGACCGTCGTTTATCTTCGGAACACAAATTAAGATATTTTTTTAAGAAATCCGAGAGCTTTTTGACCCTGCATAGACAGCAATGCAACTACCATGTTCAAGGCCCAGTAAGGACATCGCTAAAATAGTCAATGTGACATCAGGGGTTCAACCGTGGTACTGTCATGAACAAAATTGTTGAATAAGTCATTATTTTTGTTTTCTTGGCACACAAAAAATATTCTTGTAGCTTCATAAAATTACGGTTGAGCCACTGATGTCACGTGGACTATTTTAACGATGTCCTTACTACCTTTCTGAGTATGAACATGGTACAGTATTGCTTTCTATGGAGGGTCAGAAAGTTCTCAGCCTAAGTCTCAGTTTTCATCAAAAATATCTTAATTTGTGTTCCGAAGATGAACGAAGGTTTACAGATTTGGAACAACATGAGGGTGAGTAATTAATTACAGAATTTTCATTTTTTGGTGAACTAATCCTTTAAAATATCCCAGTCACTGAATGACAAAGCCCGGGTGATACGTTGTCTATAGCAAGACCCACATCGTCTTTATAAAGACGTAACGTCAAGTTTGCCAAGCAACGTCATCTTTAAAAAGACGCACCCGAAATTGCTCTTTTAGGGGAAAAAGCTCTTTTAGTGTGCTGAGGCACACAGGGGAGATGATCATTTGCAACACAAACAGGGGGTAGTGCAGCCTGATGTGTGCAACCCACTCGACACGGGAAACCACCACCGCTGAAGCGCCGTCCGCCAACACGAAGAGGTCTCCAAGAGCGTGCTGAACTCGTTCAGTCTTCTTCTCTCCGTAGAGTAGTCAGGAGCAGAACGATGTGATCACTCGGCTCCGAAGCGAAAAGCTGAATATGCGCTGCATCTGCTGCCTACTTATACTCACGCTGTGATCAGCAGCAGCTGGATGCAATACACTCGAAGTAGATTGGATGCAATACACTCGAAGTAGTTTGGTCCCTCTAAGCGAGATCCCAATTCGTCGGTCCTCCGACGTGACTTCGAGAGTGACCGACTGAAAGGGAACCAAAAGTAACAACACTATAAAATTGCAAGATATATACCCATATATACCATATATATGTGTGTGTTTGTGTGTGTGGTTTTAGAGTTAAATGTTGTTACCTTATCGGTTTTAAAAAATGTTCTTTCATTTTTTCTGTCCTATTTCTTATCTGTTCACCAGTACAGACTCAAAGATAAAAAGTTATTTCGCTATAGATCATTTAAGTCTATCCCGCTATCCATCAGCACAGATTTATCTCTCTCTTTTTTTTTTTTATCTAGCAGATTTATGAGAACACCTGCCGCTGTCATTAAAAAGCATTTTAATGGCTTTATTGTTTTGTTCTCAGAATGTCTGGTAAAGGACAATGCTTTAATCCACAAATGGGTGCAGTAATGCATTGTGTGTGTGTGTGTGTGTGTGTGTGTGTGTGTGCGTGCGCATTTTTGTAACAAATGAGGACATACATTTGTATAATGACAAAGGTATGACAGGTATTACAAGGAGAAGGTGAATTTTCAGGACATTACCCCATGTCCCCACTTTTCAAAACGCTTATAAATCACACAGAATGGAGTGTATTGAAAATCTGAAATAGCACAAAGGTTCCTGTATGTGTAGGTTTAGGGGTAGGGTTGGTGTAGGGCAATATAATATACAGTCTGTACAGTATAAAAACCAATACGCCTATGGGATGTCCCCACTTTTCACAAAAACAAACCTGTGTGTGTGTGTGGTTTGTGTGATCAGCTAGAACTTGTCCTCTAGAAACTGTTCATTAGATTGTAATTCTCTTTCTCTTTGTTTTGAATCTAATTCAGGAACATGTATGGTACTTTTATTGCATGTGTGTTTAAAGGATGTTTACATCTTTACTGGTTTTGCTAGCTAATGTTGCTCAGGGCTGCGTTTCCCAAAAGCATTGTAAGCCTAAGTAGACTGTAAAGATCATTGGTGCCAATGCAACCTATATTTATAAGCTTTGTTCCAAAAACTTAGTGAGCTGCCTACTTAGGCAGAGGCACTTTATACAGTTTTACTCTGTGTGCTATGTATTTTTATGCTTATTACAGGGACAATTCACCAAAAAATTTAATTTCTGTCATTAATTACTCAATCTCTTGTCGTTCCAAACCCGTATGACCGTCGTTTATCTTCGGAACACAAATTAAGATATTTTTTTAAGAAATCCGAGAGCTTTTTGACCCTGCATAGACAGCAATGCAACTACCATGTTCAAGGCCCAGTAAGGACATCGCTAAAATAGTCAATGTGACATCAGGGGTTCAACCGTGGTACTGTCATGAACAAAATTGTTGAATAAGTCATTATTTTTGTTTTCTTGGCACACAAAAAATATTCTTGTAGCTTCATAAAATTACGGTTGAGCCACTGATGTCACGTGGACTATTTTAACGATGTCCTTACTACCTTTCTGAGTATGAACATGGTACAGTATTGCTTTCTATGGAGGGTCAGAAAGTTCTCAGCCTAAGTCTCAGTTTTCATCAAAAATATCTTAATTTGTGTTCCGAAGATGAACGAAGGTTTACAGATTTGGAACAACATGAGGGTGAGTAATTAATTACAGAATTTTCATTTTTTGGTGAACTAATCCTTTAAAATATCCCAGTCACTGAATGACAAATGTTTATTTGAAACCATTTTACTAGATATATTTTTCATTTTGGCAAACAGATTCCTACAGTATATAAACAAATTCAATGTAGAATGAAAGGCCTTCTGTTGCTAGTCAATCTCTCTCAAGGTTCTGATGCTTTGACCCTGCATAGACAGCAATGCAACTACCATGTTCAAGGCCCAGTAAGGACATCGCTAAAATAGTCAATGTGACATCAGGGGTTCAACCGTGGTACTGTCATGAACAAAATTGTTGAATAAGTCATTATTTTTGTTTTCTTGGCACACAAAAAATATTCTTGTAGCTTCATAAAATTACGGTTGAGCCACTGATGTCACGTGGACTATTTTAACGATGTCCTTACTACCTTTCTGAGTATGAACATGGTACAGTATTGCTTTCTATGGAGGGTCAGAAAGTTCTCAGCCTAAGTCTCAGTTTTCATCAAAAATATCTTAATTTGTGTTCCGAAGATGAACGAAGGTTTACAGATTTGGAACAACATGAGGGTGAGTAATTAATTACAGAATTTTCATTTTTTGGTGAACTAATCCTTTAAAATATCCCAGTCACTGAATGACAAATGTTTATTTGAAACCATTTTACTAGATATATTTTTCATTTTGGCAAACAGATTCCTACAGTATATAAACAAATTCAATGTAGAATGAAAGGCCTTCTGTTGCTAGTCAATCTCTCTCAAGGTTCTGATGCTGAAGATGTTCTCTATTTGCTGCAATGCAGTCGCAATGCAGTCTTTTTCTAGTGCTTAGCAACTTAGCGATCATAGAAGTAAAGGACTTTGATTTAGTGAAATCATTTCACATTCACCTCCAGCATAACTCTTACCGGGCTTACAAAAATGTTTCATTCCCTCAAAGCCAGTAGACATATTTATTCACCTTGGGCTGAAAAGAAAGCAGCTTTGAAAGACCGGTTTTAAAGGTTATCCAAAACAAAAGCTAAATAAATAGGAATTAAATAGAATTTAATTTTTATATCCTAGACACGAATGGATTATCAGAATAAATGTGATATTATAACTGCATAGAATGAGTGCATAGATTAAAAATATTTTTTAAAGAATAAGCAAATAAACCAGCTCTGAAATGAGAGATGTTGTGCTTAATATCTTTTATGGGGGAAATACTACTATTTAATACACTATATGCATTGATTATGATTTAATTATGTGCATGGCTCTGCAAGAAATTGGAAATAATTAATTTGCCAGCAGCAGCTTTCATTACTATTTACAATCAACCATTGAAAATAATTTTTAACATTTAACAAAATGTTAATTATTTATCAAAATAAACATGTATTTCATTTATTATATGGGCTCTACAATGACAGTAACAGTTTAGATTCATATAAAATACGAGAACATTTATAAAAGCATTTTTTAACATTTATTCTTCTTAAAAAAAACTCCAATGTCTTTGAAAAGGAAACCTTTGCATTTTCATGAAACTGGTAAATAGTAAAAGTTTCCTTACACTTTCAATAAACTTTGCAGTCTCATGTTCCTACAAGTGCGATTTCTGGATCGAATTGTTTGGAATAAACTTCTTACATGTCATAATTTTGTACTTCAGTAGGCTTTTTTATTGTATTTTTGTAGCAAATTTGATTTGTGCCACAGTTCATGCAGAATTCATTCGACCCAAATAACGTGGAAATCTAGTTCTGTCTGTAATCGTACCCTTAGTTGATATAGATGTTGCTGACACTCTCTGGTCTCTCTTTTCCCCTTACATCTCTTTCATCACCTCTCTCTTCTTCTCCCAACCTCTGCCTGGTTGGGCTTTTCTGGTTTTGCTGCCATTGGGGTTTTTGCAGGTCACATCCCAAGTTTGCAGAAGGGCAAATGTGCAGCTTGCCTGCTGATTCTGATATTGTTCCAGCACTTTTTTGTTTGTATTTTTTAAGAATGCATCAAATGCAATGTTACTGTTTTTGGCAGGAGGTCCTAGGTACAATTTATATAATATTTATGACATCTGGTCTTGTTGAGATATATAGTTGAGTATCATCAGCATAACAGTGGAAACTAATCCCGTATTTTCTAATAATATTACCAAGGGGCAACATGTATATCGAAAATAGCAGAGGACCTAGGACAGATCCTTGTGGCACTCCATATTTTACTGGTGATAATTGAGATGACTCCCCATTTAAATGAACAAAATGGTAGCGATCGGACAGGTATGATCTAAACCATCTTAAAGCCTGCCCTTGATTAATGTGGTCCACATTTACACAGAACAAAAACAGCTCTGTTCAAAAACCATAAAGAAGGCATCACTGGTGCAGTCCTCATTATTCCGCAAGGTTCCAACAACTAAATTATGCTTCCATCTAAGATATCTAATTGAAAGATGATTATGTTTGTTTGTTTATTTACTTTTATGCTAATTAGATTAGCATAGTATGTTGTTAGCTAAGCATAATGTCAAACCAAGTAGATATATAATACATAGAAAAAGCTATCCGTTAGCATTCTCATTCATTTAAATGTAAGTTGTGGTGCCACAGGACCTCCTGGAGGTATCTTTGTGGTTTATGAATTGTAGATACAATTGTCAAAGAGTCTTTAATCCAAGGAACACAGGGTAAATCCACACAAAGGGCGCAAAGGGCACTGGAGCAAACACACGTACACAAAGAGTAGACCCGGCAGAGACAGACTGCACAGACTGGGACTTAAATACAGGGGATAATTGGGGAAGCACAGGTGCATGGGATGACTAATTAAACTAATTATCAAAACGAGGACAGGAATATGACCAAATAATGCCGAGTTCACACTGCCCGATTTTAGTCAGATTTTTCACTCGCCGACAGGTTTTGCGAAATCGCAGACAAATGCCTGAAATCGGAGGCAGATAGGTGCTCATTCACGCGAGTGACAATCACGCAGTGTGAATTATCAAAGATGCGATCTGAGGGATTCGCCGACACGTCGCCGACTCCCGTGAAATATTTGGCATGCTAAATATCTGGAGCTGTCGGCGATTCACAATCACGCTGTGGGAAATGAGTTCTGACTGAAAAACACATCGGCGATGACCTACAGCCAATGAGAGACCAAGATACAGGGCAGCGGGAAGTTCGGGTTATATGAAACGTAGTTTGCGGGCCAGTGTTGCCAAATCCACGAGTGCCGCCTGTTGTTTTTTATGTCAGCAGGTTGAAGCGACCACAATAACGTGATATTTAGGCCCTGGAATGTGAATTGTACCAGGAGAACCCCGCCAAAAAAATTTGCATTTTACCCCCCCAAACGCGATTTTTACTGGGGGACCCCCTCGAAAGCAACTGGGCTATTTTCAGGCTAGTTTTGAGTAGTAATTGGGCGGGTTTTTTAGCGAAAACCTGGCAACCCTGCACCAGACAGAGCTGTCAGCGATTCTTCCTATTGTAAAGTCATGCATGTGTGTTACCTCCTGTCGTCATTCCGTCGTGCAGTGTGAACACAGCAACAACTGAATGCTACCCCAGATAGTCATTCAGTGTGAAACCAACAGTGATGTGACGTCTTTGAAAATCGTCCAGTGTGAACTCGGCATAAGGGAACAGAAACGGGGGCAAAACATGACACAGACAGTCCATGATCCTGACAACAATAAGCACATAAGAGTTAAGGCCAGTGACAAATGTTTGTCACGAAAATTTGGTGTGACAAACATTTTTATTTGAAGAAACAGCTATTAATGCATCTTTTGGGTTAATGCATTATATATATATAATACATATATTTTTAATGTACTGAAATAATCTAACTTTAAGATTAAATGCTAAAAATATTTATTTATTCATTCATTCACTCACTCAATAACTGTTGGTTTTATTGAAGAACCTATAGTTGTGGAATGCAGAACAAATTATCTCTAATCACAGAATGAATCATGGTTAATTTAATATCTCCACCGTCTTTGAATATAATGTTGGACAAAAGGTTAAACCACTGTTTTAAATGTAATATGAAATAACAAATGAAATGTCACTCAAGATGTATCTTTTAGAGAAGCAATTTAACGTGTCCATCCTCAGGTTTTGTCGGTGCCTCACAGGAGACTGGTGTGCTGCAGTCGGCTGTTTGAAGTGACTGACATCAACAAAGCCCAGAAGCAAGCTGCTCACCAGAGAGAGGTCTTCCTCTTCAACGACCTACTTGTGGTAACTGCAAGTTACATTTCATTATGTAGAATTATTATTTTTTTAAGTTTTATGTTCTTCATTTTTCATTTTCTTGTTCTTTATTTATACTATTGTTAATCAAGGCAAGGGAAAAGAGAAGATGACAAATCCAAGTATAAGAATGGAGCATAAAACATCTTTATATCAAAACCCAAAAGGAAAAATATCTGATTATTACAATGGCCCAGCAGTGCAAAACACAACTAAATCTCCACAACACAATGGAAACAAGCCACAACACAGCGAAATTAGCACAACACAACAGAAATAAGCCAAAACACTACGAAATCGCCAAAACACAGCGGAAACAAGCTGCAACACAACAAAATTAGCAAAACACAATGGAAACAAACCGCAACATAACGGAAACAGGTCGCAACAATGAAATTATCACAACACAATGGAAACAAGTCACAATTTAACAAAATGAACGCAACATAATGGAAACAAACCGCAACAATGAAATTATCACAACCCAACGGAAACAAGTCGCAACACAATGAAATTAGCACAACACAACGGAAACAAGCCAAAATTAGCAGAGCACAACAAATTTAGTCCTATGCGTTGTGTCGTGGACTACTGGAACACCATAGATTATGTTCAGAATAGCATACTGCCATACTACTCTTACATATACTGTGCACATTGAACATTTTCCATATCCAGAGAATAATGCACTCAACTTGATCTTCCATTTCCATGCTCTTTTTGCACTACAGAGTTGTTCCCCATTGTGTGAATGCAAATCTAATGAAGTCCTCTTTCCCACAACTGCTGAAATAATTTGGTCAAAGCCATAAAGTACAGCCCTTGAAATTAATCACAGATTAAATGTCTGTTATAATTAATGGAGGGCATTAGACTGACTGAAAGGCTATCACAGCAGTGTATTAAACTATTCTCATAATTGCAAGAGCTCATGTTAATCTGGCCATATAAAAAGGGAAGTGAAAACCACAAAACATACTTTTTCCATTACAGTCATAGGTGAAATTGGGTGAAGTAAGGCTATTTAAATATACAAATGACATTTGCGAAATGAAACACTCTCTTCACATTGTACATGAAATGGAAAACTGAGAAATATATAAAATCCAAATATCTAGTCAATATCAGGCAATTACTCATTATGAAGTTTTTGTGGCAATATTTATTTCTCATAACTGCTTTTGTAACTTTGCTCAGAGATTTTTGGCATTAATTGTGTTGAGATATGAGTTGGCTCAGAGATTGTTCTTCTTCTTCACGAGGGTCTCCCGCTTCCCTTAGATTTGTGGCAGAATGAAATATAGGTTCAATATTGTGGTATTTTGAGTAAACCAATAGGGAGTCTGGTAAGTAGACTCTCAACACTACACTAATCTGTGTGGCCTTCTATTTCTCACGTACACTCAAACACTTACAATCTAACACTGAAAGACAGCTAGCAGGGTTGAAGTGTGTGCCATTCAAAATTGAATTAAGAATGTCAGCTGAGAGTTCAATTCCTGGATTTAATTTAATGTAGCAAAAAGGATGAATAATTGCAATTTGAATGCAAGGAAGTAGAAACAAAAACTGTGTCCCAAATGATGCACTATATACAGGTGCATCTCAATAAATTAGAATGTCATGGAAAAGTTAATTTATTTCAGTAATTTAACTCAAATTGTGAAACTCGTGTATTAAATAAATTCAATGCACTCAGACTGAAGTAGTTTAAGTCTTTGGTTATTTTAATTGTGATGATTTTGGCTCACATTTAACAAAAACCCACCAATTCACTATCTCAACAAATTAGAATACTTCATAAGACCAATAAAAAAAACATTTTTAGTGAATTGTTGGCCTTCTGGAAAGTATGTTCATTTACTGTACATGTACTCAATACTTGGTAGGGGCTCCTTTTGCTTTAATTACTGCCTCAATTCGGCGTGGCATGGAGGTGATCAGTTTGTGGCACTGCTGAGGTGGCATGGAAGCCCAGGTTTCTTTGACTGTGGCCTTCAGCTCATCTGCATTTTTTTGGTCTCTTGTTTCTCATTTTTCTCTTGACAATACCCCATAGATTCTCTTTGGGGTTCAGGTCTGGTGAGTTTGCTGGCCAGTTAAGCACACCAACACCATGGTCATTTAACCAACTTTTGGTGCTTTTGGCAGTGTGGGCAGGTGCCAAATCCTGCTGGAAAATTAAATCAGCATCTTCAAAAAGCTGGTCAGCAGAAGGAAGCATGAAGTGCTCCAAAATTTCTTGGTAAACGGGTGCAGTTACGTTGGTTTTAAAAACACAATGGACCAACACCAGCAGATGACATTGCACCCCAAATCATCACAGCCTGTGGAAACTTAACACTGGACTTCAAGTAACTTGGGCTATGAGCTTCTCCACCCTTCCTCCAGACTCTAGGACTTTGGTTTCCAAATGAAATACAAAACTTGCTCTCATCTGAAAAGAGGACTTTGGACCACTGGTCAACAGTCCAGTTCTTCTTCTCCTTAGCCCAGGTAAGCCCAACTCTGATGTTGTCTGTGGTTCAGGAGTGGCTTAACAAGAGGAATACGACAACTGTAGCCAAATTCCTTGACACGTCTGTGTGTGGTGGCTCTTGATGCCTTGACCCCAGCCTCAGTCCATTCCTTGTGAAGTTCAATCAAATTCTTGGATCGATTTTGCTTGACAATCCCCATAAGGCTTCTCTCGGTTGGTTGTGCATCTTTTTCTTCCACACTTTTTCCTTCCACTCAACTTTCTGTTAACATGCTTGGATGCAGCACTCTGTGAACAGCCAGCTTCTTTGGCAATGAATGTTTGTGGCATACCCTCCTTGTGAAGGGTGTCAATGATTGTCTTCTGGACAACTGTCAGATCAGCAGTCTTCCCCATGATTGTGTAGCCTAGTGAACCAAACTGAGAGACCATTTTGAAGGCTCAGGAAACCTTTGCAGGTGTTTTAAGTTGATTAGCTGATTGGCATGTCACCATATTCTAATTTGTTGAGATAGTGAATTGGTGGGTTTTTGTTAAATGTGAGCCAAAATCATCACAATTAAAAGAACCAAAGACTTAAACTTCTTCAGTATGTGTGCATTGAATTTATTTAATACACGAGTTTCACAATTTGAGTTGAATTACTGAAATAAATGAACTTTTCCACGACATTCTAATTTATTGAGATGCACCTGTATTATGCACTTATACAGTACATTCTCAACCATGTATGAATTGAAGGTTATTTTGTCATTAATAATCGTAGTCTGGTAGCCCCTCCCCCTTCACGACATAAGCTGCGACAGTTGAGTGCATGAAGTGTCCAACATTCCACACTTCGTTTTTTTCGATTATTTAAGGGCATCATTCGGGTTTTTAAATGCACTTTTTCTTTTTGGAATTTTTAATGTGTACGCACTATTCGCACTATTTGTACTACAAAACGTCACAGAATAGTGCATAAGCATGCGATTTGGGACACACCTAAAGTGTAATAAAAACTGTAATTTTAACTATCTTACCAACATGCTAACATAAATCTGTCCTAATTGTTTAACTTGAGGAATGCTATTTGTGTGGCGTGCTGCTAATGTAGAGAGTTCCAAATCACTTATAAGGTATCACTTTAGTTAGTATGCTGCATTAGAAGTAACTATGGTAGCTAGGCAGTTCATCAGGATTTGGAACAGAGCTTGTGTTTACCATTTTTACTCTTTTGCTCTAATGAGTGACAGTGAATCTAATTCACATTTCTATTTCCTTCCTTCACAGATTTTGAAATTGTGTCCGAAGAAGAAGAGTTCAGCTGCATACACCTTTTGCAAGGCCATGGGGCTGCTGGGCATGCAGTTCCACCTGTTTGAAAATGAAAGTAAGATCATACCGTTTTTGTGGTAAATCCACCCTAGGCTCATTTAAAAATCTGCCTAAATTTTGGGAAAATTTGCACAAAAACATATAACTCACCTAGCTGAAATGAACACTAGTGGCAGTAAAACACCATTGATTATTTATTGATAAAGATTTATTTGCATGCAGTTCTTTATGAAATACTGTTATGACCTACAAAATACTTTTACCATAGTGCATGATTTGTAAGCTAATATATTTTGACATTTGCATCATGTAACCAGCTACATATAAATGGCTTTTCACCTGACATTTCTGAATTGCTTCGATATGAACAGCAACCAATATAATAAAACTTTGCCACCAAGTGTGCCGCACAGGTTATGAGGTGTGTTTCCCAAAAGCATGGCTAACTATGGTAGTTAGCTAACTAAGTTCTGTTAACCCTTAAACACATACCTCAGGTCTTTAGTGACCCGGGACGTCATTCACCACCCTCCCCTCCCCAAATTAATTCAATTGTATATGGTCACTAATGACCCGAGTTGTGAAATGGTGAATTTTTTTCCTGTGCACCAATAAATAAATATATGTTGACTCAATAAGTGCAATTCACCTTTATTTCTCAAGGTGGCACTGTTACACAATGATGACGTGATGTTTTACTCATTATTATTATTATTAGGCATAAAATAAAAGAGTATCATCAGCAAAAACCGAACTGGCTTGAATGGCTTTAGTGCAGCATAATTACGGTACACAATGAAATATAAGTGCCACTATTATTTGATGGTGGATGTGGTGAATAAGCTGCCAGTGATCATAATATTGATTTTGAAGACATTATAAAAGATCGTTTTGAGAATATGTTTGAGATATCACGGTTATGAGCCAGATGCTGAATTGTACTCTGACGATGACAGTGATTGTAAAATAATTTGCTCAAATTGAAGCCTTCCTAGTTTATGGTAATGAAATAAGCTTTATTTTATTCTTTTGTCATTAAAATATTAGGAGAATATTAGGAGAGTTTTATGCTATTGTAGCAGTTAGAGATCCATCCATGCTAGATATATAGGTCCGGGTCGCTAAAGACCTGAATATGTAATAATGATCGGCGAAACATTTGTGCATTTAAGGGTTAAACTGTATTAGTAATGATGGAACTTGCAACCATAGTTGCTTTTGGGAAACAAAAAAAGTGAAACCAAAACATTTTGATCACCCCCTGGTGGCTGGCTGCAGTTTAGGATGTAACCCCAATTTTTATTTATTGGTTTATTTTTCCTTGGATGTGGGTTTGACTAAAACTATGCATAGATTCAGAGAAATGGTCACTGTGATAAATAGTTTTCAAAATCCAATTTACTGTATAAACTTTGAAGACATTTTGTGCAGTACTGTATTTGACCTTTGTAGGGTGGTGTATGATCACTATGGAGTGAAAAAAAAACTTTATATGAAATCCAGACAATTATGTGCCTTTCAAACATCCACTTCACTGATTTCCTTCCAACAAAAAGAATACCACATGATAAATAAAGATGACAGGCACCCTCTCCTTCTTGTCCAATTAATGTGGCCACAAGCATTTCTCTTTTCCTCCCACTCTTTCGCTTTCACACACACACACACACACACACACACACATACAAACATTCATGGCAGCTGGGTTGTAATTAAGCGAGATGAGAGCGTTATGGCTCACGCTTGTATTTCACCCCACTTGAGTCTCTAATGATTGACTGAACAGACTGGTCGTCATAAGAGAGACACAAACGTGTAAATCAGCAGAAAAACAAACATGTTTCCAGCCATGACCATGACAACAAAAGACACTAAATATTTTCTGAGTTGACAATCACTCTAGTGATGGAGTTTGTAAGGCTTATAAATGTAAATACCACAAGAAATGGGAAGTTGTGCTATAAATGTGTTATAAAGGTGTTATTAATGTGTTATGAATGTGTTATAAAGTATATATCTTATGCTGTAACAATGTAAGAAGTTTCATAGCCAGTCAGAGCCAATCATCCTAGCATAATTTTTTCAAATGCCTGTTCTGCTAACATCACTTGGGCTATGTGGGCTACTGGTCAGTAATAGCCAAATAACAATTTAGGCAGTGTTTTAGGCTACTGTTGTAAGTAATACAGTCTTTCTAAAAACTTTACCATAAAATACGTTGAGTTGTTTCCAAGGGTGGACTTGACCGTCCTGCAAACTCATATTGAAATCCAGAATATAAATCAAGGTCAACCAAGTCATTTTTTTTTCTCTCTCCATTCTGTTTTACTTGGGGAAAAATGTCACATTAAAGAGTAAAATAGGTTGAGTTTATATGTATAATTAAATATGTTTATTTGGGATTAATATTATTATTATTATTAAGTTTTATAGGAAATTTTACCAAAAATGAATAGTTATATTGATGCTCAGATGATTGAGGAATAGTTAATACTTTAAAAAACTTTAAATTCCGCCACTATTTACATACCCTCTCATAAACGATGAGTTTTACCAGGGATGAGCTGCTGAACATTCGGCAGAACACACCACACAATCTTCTACCGGATTTCGTTTATTCGGACGTTTTGCTGAACGTTGTACTTGGCGGAGCTGCTGCGCTGATGAAGCTCAGGAAGCTCAGGAAGCGCGGATAACGGTTCGGACTGCTGAAAGGATTATTGGTGCCCCCCTGCCTACCCTCCAAGAACTTACATCCAGAGTGAGGAAAAGGGCTCAGAAAATCACTCTGGATCCATCACATCCAAGCCATCTCCTTTTTGAACTTTTGCCATCTGGTCGGCGTTACAGAGCACCGAATACCAGGACAGCCAGGCACAAGAACAGTTTCTTTCCCCAGGCAATCTACCTCATGAACAGTTAATGTTCTCCCATTGTGCAATTAAAGTACAGTATGTGCAATAACCTTATACTTATTTATCACCCTAAACCCTAGTACATCCCTACAACTTATTTTATTTTATTATATTCCTATTCCATCTATAGCACACCTGTACATACAATTTATTCTTTTTTTGTGGTTTATATTTATGCATGTGTATTTTATTCACATCTCACTTTTATTATCTGTGTGTTGTTGTTGTCTCCGTGTACTGGAAGCTTGTGACACTATAACAAATTCCTTGTATGTGCAAACATACTTGGCAATAAAGCTCTTTCTAAAACATTTCCAAATGTATGTGAAACACAAAATAAGACATTTTTGAAGAATCATCACACATTTCATTAGTGACAGTTTCCAAAAGTGACCATTTCTGTCAAGCTTAAAAAAAAGACAAAAATACACACAAACAAGTATAGCATGACTCACATGACTCATATAGCTCATATAACTCTACATCAATATATAAAATGTGTCATGCTAGGTTATAACAAACGTATTCAATTTTTCCGACTATGACAGCATTGAAGTTGACGAATAATTGAATCTGGAAGTGAACACATTCTTGATGTGACCTTCAGAAGAAAACTGCCAAGATTGTCAGCGGATAGCAACATGAACCTTAATTTTTGCTAATTTAATGTTTCTATTTTGTCTGTTTTTGTTTCAGACTATCCTCACGCCATCACTATTGTGTCTCCGTGTTCGGGCTCTGATAAGAAGCAGGTGTTGAATTTCTGTGCTCAGAGCGCAGAGGAGCTGCTCAAGTTCGTAGAGGACCTGAAGGAGTCCATCGCCGAGGTTTCAGAGATGGAACAGATACGTATTGAATGTGAGTAGGATGTGTGTCAAAATATGAAGTGCATGTGTATAAGAGAATACAGATGTTTTCATGTTTGATGTGTAGCTGATCCCACATAATTTGTGCAGCAGACATGAATGATACCACACAACATGCAGCCTGTCGTTACTTTTCTAAGCAAATTGTAATTGTATTATTCCTTTTCTTTATAGCGAGACTTTTTTGAAGGAATGATCTGAGCCATATCTATAGAGAACAGAATATCATAGACTTGTGGGTGGCTCTTTTGAGTTGAGCTAGTAAGCAATCAAGTGAAAAGACAGTTTTTCACTTCGTTTTTTTCTCTTGCTTCGTGATGTGAATCAGCAGTCATCTCTTGAATATTGGACAGTGTTTCCATTTGCTGGGTTAACAGAAGTAACCCAGTTATTGGCAGCTGTAGTAAAACAGATGCCGAGACACCTATGATTATTATTATTATTAATTTTTGCATTCCCTGGGAATCAAACCCATAACCTTGGTCATACTAGTGCCATGATCTACTGTTTGAGCTGCAAGAAAGTTGCTGTGGTTGTGACATTAATGGGCAGAAAAGTTACAATTCTACAATTACTTCTAGGTATGACAGCACTGCATTATTAAACTTAGTTAAAATGTAACTGAATGTGTGAAATAAATATTACAAACCTTAGTCATTAAACAATCTTAAAGTAATCGTACATACAGTTCCTTAACATTTATGCCCAGTCGCCCACTACCATTCAAAAGTTAGGGGTCAGTAACTATTTAAAAATATAAAAATAATAATTAATAAAAAAAAATAAAAAAAATCTTAATTCTGCAAGTATACATTAAATTGATCTAAAGTGATAGTAAAAACTTTAGATTGTTAAAAAAAATCTAATAAATGCTGTTCTTATTCATTAAAAATAGTTAAGAAAATGCATCAAGGTTTCCACAAAGACAAAAAGAAAGAACAAAAGAAAACCAGATTTTAAACTAATTTTATAACTGCTGATGGTAATAATAATAATAATAATAATAATAATAATAATAATAAGTAATAATAATAATAATAATAATAATAATAATAATAATAAGCACCAGTATCATCTAACACTAAAGACTGGAGTAATGGGCTGCTGATAAAAATAAAAATAATAATCCCAACATTTTATTTGATTTTATTTAAAAAAAATTTAGTGAGCATAAGAGACTTCCTACAAAAGCAAAAAGTCCAAACTTTCAATGTTAGTGTATTTAAATCATTATTTAATTTCATAAATATGTATGCATCATATTTCAGTGTAAATGCAATTATTATGTTTGAAACATCAGCCTAAAAAGATAAAACAGAATGCACCACTTTTCAACACTGCAGTATTTCTGTTTACAAATGTGAAGGTGGCTTATTGGACCGGTTAATTTCTGTGTAATATAATTCTCGTTTTGCGGTCTTAGCTGCTCTACTGTTTATTTGCACTGCATTTTTTGTAAACATGGTGTGTATAAGTTTGCTTTCCCTGTGCGTTTGTCCTTTAGGACTCTCACTGAGCTGTTTTGATGTTCTATAATAAATGAAATGTTTCGTTTGCACAGTGCTATCAGGCTTTCAAATATCCTCTGAAGGAACTGAGAAGGAAAGACATGGAAGCAGGAACAGGAAAATGTCTTTTGGTTTCCATGAGGGAGAAAAACAAAAAGAGAGACAGTATGAGAAAGGGCTGAGTGCCAGTGGACATCAAAGCATGTATTCTGCTGAGGCCGGTTGGTTTTCATTACATTCTGAGCTAGAGAGAGCAAGGGTCCATGGGAAGTCTTATGCTGGATGTGCATCTGTGTCAGCAGTTTCACCGGGAAAAGAGAGATAAGCACCTTTACTCCCTTTCAGGAATACAGCTGTTGGTGAACTGAGAGCTGTCATCTACACAGCCACACATCTTTTCTTTTCCACATAAAGGAACTTCTCTTTACAATCCAAGCATGAATAAATGCCTTTGTGCATTGATGCTTTTACTTGCATTTCATGTCTTTGTCTTTATTTTAGAATTGCAAATAAAGACAATCCTCATTTGCAGTTAATGCGTGTTGAACTGAGGCAGGTAATCTGCTGTCCTGTTATCCAAAGGGGCTCTGGAGGTTCTGCTGTGGATTAATAATCTCAGATTTACTCGTTCTAAATGACTGAAATGTAGAAAAATGAACTGATGTTGCTAGGAGAATATTTCAAGAATAAAAATATTGAATAGAGGGGCAAAATTGATCAAAATAACAGTACTTGTTTATCCATATTTGATTTGACATCAGTAATGGTTGATGGAATAACAATAACAACAACAACAACAACAACAACACCAATAATAATAATACATAAATAAATAAATAAATAATCAAAAATAAATATTGCAAGTGCAAGAGTTATAAGTAATCATTTTTATTAACCTATAATAATTATAAATAAACCATAATAACCTTAAATTTTTTACCTATTTAAATTATCATGTTAAATTGACAGCCCTAACATAATTACCTTTAACTAAACAATTAAAAAAATACACACACTTCAGCCAAGAATCAGCCAAGATGACAACTTAAACTTGATGTATACTTTTTATTTTGTTATTTTAAACACCATTATTATTATTATTATTATTATTGTTGTTGTTGTTAATGAAAAAAGTGTAACTCATGAATCAACAAAAAACAACAATAATTTTAGTGAATGAGTGAATAAAAGAGGAAATAAAACAGTAGAATGAATTATTGTATGATTTTATTTATTTATTTAAATATTAATCACACTTCATTTATTGACAGGTCTAATTATATTGCTTTTGACTTGCTGTCATTACATGAAAAAAAATGTTTTCAACATGAACATCAACATTTTTCAATTTCATTATATTACAGTTTTTTTTCAACTGCTCACACACAAAATCTTTACTTGTCACACAATTTCTGAAACCTGACACTCAAACGCCAGAAGCACACACCAAATCTGCAAAACCATACATTCATTCTCGGCCTTTGACTCAGTTTTCAATTTCATAAAAACACTTTTTTGCAAAACACAACACAAAAATCTAACAGGAATTAATATTATGGCAAAGGTGTTTGCAAATGTTTGCTTTTGAGATGCGTTTGTGATATTTTGAATGCAGTGCTTCATTTTACAAGAGATGTGCGGCATTTTGCATTTTGTGTGTGCAGTTCTAGGATTTGTGTGTAAAGTTTTGAAAAAAAAAGAGGCAAATATTGAAAATGTGTGCAAGCAGTTGACTGTTGAACAGACAGTTGAATAAAATCTGTTTTGTTTCCATTTGTATGTACACCTTTTCAGTTCTCTGGAATAAAAGAGGACACATTTTCCCCTCCTTTTATCCTTGAATTTACTACTGTAATAAATACCTTTAGTTAGGTAGCATGCTGTGTTTTAGTATCCGGGTGATTGGTTGTCAGCTATTCTTTGTGCACTCACAGGTTTTTATCAAGGCATAGTCCTTTCTTATGGCTTCATTAAATCAGAAGGCATATTTCCCCTAAAAGAGTCCTAATGTAGAGCCAGAGCTTTCTTACAATTCTTTTGGAAGAGGGAAAAGCTCTTTTGTAGCCTGATTAGAAATGACAGGCAATTATCATCAAGCCCTGAGTGTAAGTATGGTGATTTGGAGCTCTGCTGTTTAGAGACGGACGACTCAAAGTTTAGAGGATGTGAGCATGCTGTTGTGTGTGTGTGTGTGTGTGTGTTCGTGTGGCATGGACTTAAACCTCTCCTGGTCTCTTTTCACTGTCTTTTTAGGGGAGTTGGAGAAACAACAGGGAGCCAAAACTCACTCCATCAAGAACAACGGGACTCCGCTTGAGTTGAGGGGAAGACAAGGTTCTCCTTCAGGTACAATACAGTCAGAAACACATCTATTTGCTGTATTTCACATGATTTGCATTCAATATCTGTTTAGGTAATAGGGTACAACGGGGCTAAAGGCCCACCTTAAGAAAACATTTGCCATTCACTGCGCCTAAAATGTATAATTGCAGAAAATAAATATATATGTTGTTTTGAAGATTAATGGAGCAACAGATTTTGTGTAAATCATTTAAGTTGTTTATTTTGTTTAAAAATCTTATAAAGGTATGAGGTGGCAAGGGGGGCCTTTTACCCCAGACACAGGGTAAAAGGCTCACGGTATTGATACAAATACTTCAGCTAAAATAATGTTTTTTAAATAATGTCATTTAGTATCATTTAAATAAAGTTAATACTTGTTCAAAACAATCACTGTAGCAAAGGTTGTACTATTTTCTGCTTATTTTGAAAAATAAAAGAATTAATTTTTGTTCAATAAATATACTGTCATTAAAATGTTAATATTAAAATGATTTTGTTTTTAAAATATCTTTTTTATAAGTAAAGATTCTGAAGGCACTGAGGGAGATCCAATAATAATTGAATATATGTTTACAGTAGTAACAACAAATTATATCTTATTATATGATATAATTAATATCATGTTTTTAAATATGATGATTTCATTCTAAACATGGTGATTATCTCTAATATGGACACCCAACATAATATATGATATTTACCATCTGAATCTAACCATGTCATGTCCACAAATGGAAAAGTCAGCCATCTATTAATTATCATGTTAATTACTGTGTGCCTTTAGCCCTAACAGCAGGGGTGTTTTTTACCCCAAATGCCATACTTTTACATATTCTTTTGTTTTTTAAAAACTGTTGCTTTAATTATCTTACACAAGACCTTTGTCTCAAAATATATCCATTAATTTTAGAGATTCTCATTTGCTACTTAAATCTACAACATTTTAAAAAACATCAAATATTAGATCAAATAAGCACAATCTGACTGCGCGCGATCACGTCAAAGAACAGACAAATATACACGTGCATCTTGAAAAGCAAATGTTTTGGAAAGTGCTACGCCACGTTTTTGTGACATCTAGTGGTTTAGATGAAAATAATATCAAAGGCGCCTTTTACCCCGTGGCGCCTTTAGCCGCGTTGTTCACTATCAAGCAGGTTTTACTCCCAGCTATATAGTAAATATCAAAATATTATCAAAAGTTCAGTACCAAACAAAACATAGAATTTAAGTGAAGTGGCTTGTGCTTTATTTATCTCCTCAGTCATGTTTGGGTGAATCTCACAGAAACATTTTCATATATACCATTCATCCAATTCAAGTTATGGCATGGAACTCTAGACGGCGCAGTCCGATAGGTCAAACTCAATCTGACACAATGACATCATTACATGGCACAGCTGATTGGTTCTTTTCGTATCAGCAGCCAATGAGTTCGCTGCTCAACATTCAAATACTAATTTGCTAACTCTAATGCTTGCTGTAACAGTTGCGGCGTGCTTCAGAAACCCTCCACCTTCCCCAGCTCCACCTGTATAGATCCTCTTTGGCAGGGGTGCCCAACCCTGCTCCTGGCGATCGACTGTCCTGCAAAGTTCAGCTCCAACCCTAATCAAACACACCTGAAGCAACTAATTAGGGTCTTCAGGATCACTTAAACATTAAAGGCAGGTGTCTTTGATTAGAGTTGGAGCTAAACTTTGCAGGACAGTCGATCGCCAGGAGCAGGGTTGGGCACCCCTGCTCTATGGGGTGATTCATGTATGTTATATATAGGGGTTATTTCATATATGCTATATGTGCAGCAGGATTTCTTACATGCTCACAGCAGCATGTTGTGGATGTATTGGCAGTAGCAAGTATCGGTACTTGCTCTGCTGCAGCAGCATAGCAGATCTATTCCACCAAGACCAAACACATTAACATTATCATGTACATTACCATGCCAATCCCTCCGAGAGTTGTCATGTACAGAAGTTTGTTTGTTTTTTTCCCACAAAATGTGAACTTTGTGTTATGTGATTTTATAAACGTAGTTTCAAGCATATTTACTCAAATTATCATTCACGGTACATGTTCACCCATTCTTTAATCTTTAGTCTGATTTGTACTCTTTTTTTGCTTAGAAAAACAGGAAATGAACGCATCACAGAGCGAACACAATGCAGTAGAGGTAAGAGCTCAGTGTTCTCGCAGGTAAGTCCCTACAGACCCCTAGCATTCATCAGTAGCTTACAGCTTATAGGACACATAAAGCTAGTGAACAGGAATTAACAAGCTACAACAGCCATATGTTCCTGCTGGAGTGAAAACGCAGTGTCCTCAACCAGACGACCTTCCACTTCCCCTAAAGTCATTCGAAACGTTATTGCCGCCAAACCCAAAGTCGACAGCAGCCCCCTGGAGGTAAAACTCATCTGTGCACTGTTGCCCCCTCCTGTTAAATTAACTTTGCAGTGTGGAGGAGAATTTTAAGAGAATTATTGAAACAAACATTTTATACATGTTTTTACCTCGTTGATGATCAGAAAAAAAAAAAGTTCAGCAGACAGCGAATAGAAGAGAGTAGAAATTTTATGTAAGCTTTCCATATTTGTGGAGCATTTCAATAGTCAGAATTTAAACAGCATGCAGACAGCTCACTAATCTCTCAAAGATGACTTTTTGTTTGAGTTAATGCATGCATAAAATGAGTTGTTACTGTTTAAAAGTAAAACTATTAAAAATCATTTTCATCACTTGAAATAAACCTGAAATAAAACTAAATATAAATATTACATGGGAATCTTGAACTTCTTGAAATCTTGAAATACAGTTCCTAGAATTGTTAATGAATGTACATATGCATGCTGTGCTCACCATATTGCCACCATATCAAGATTAAAAGTTATTAAACTTTTGATGAATGAACTGAATGAATAATCCACAATACTACAGTGGTAATATTAACATCATGCTAAAGTGTTGCATTCACTTATTTATTTTTAATTAATGTCAACATGACAACTTAATTGGTTGAAACATGACATCAGGAAGTTGTTTAAGAACAGAACTAAAAAAAATAATGTAGATTTGTTTTTCCTTTGGAATAATGTGCACTGATGAATCATTCACACTTTAGCATACTTTAAAAAAAGAGTAATTATGTAAATAATATACATTAAAAGCAGTCCGAACTGAATGTACTGTATTCAGATTCTTAATTGCATGTTAATTGCAATTAAATAAAAAGTATTACAGTCTAAATTTAGATTATTTGGAATTCAATTTAGAATGTTTAAAAGGGCTTAAGCATGCCATTATTTGGAATTTCATAATCACTTAGAAATATGGCTCAAGTGTGCTGCCACATCTACCGACAAACCAATCAAAATATGTCCCCCCAATGTCATTGAAACTCGTGTGCCTCAGTGCCTGTATTTCAAATTATTTGTAATTACACATTTATTCAATACCATTCAATACCAAAGTGCACTTCCTTATCAAAAGGGAAGACAAGAAACATTGAGTAAATAGATTCTTTAATTGCAAACCCAGACTCAGCGCAAACCAGGTAGCAAGCGTTCAGAGTTTCCACTGTGGCAACCACAAGAACAAGCCCTAGTGATCTCTAACATTAATCTGATGCAGCATCATAACCTCTCTGCAGGGGGATAAAAGACAAACCCTACATAAAATACATTACCCAGAGGGCCGTGCGATTAGCATCATGAGGTAACACCATGTCTTGTGCATGTAAGGGAATTCAAGGACACAACAGCAAAGAGGCACTGTGTCGGTGAACTTTATTTAAACAGATGCACTTGCTTCTGTGTGACACATGGCAGGTTTCATTTCATATGCCCACAAGTCTTAGAACCTAAATAGAGCTCATGGAGTGTTGTGTTGTGAGAATGCAGTAGCCTTACACAGATATGTAAGTATTGAGGGTTCAAAACTGACACTCAGAAAGTAGCAAATTGGCAATAGACCAGTAAATGAAATGGAGCACATTGACTGCTGACCTTTTTTAGGAATCAATAAGATTAAAAAAAAAAGGCAAATCAAAAAGATTAAAATAGCAGCAAGTAAATAAAAGGATGTTGTCTGACAGCTTTTATCTTAAGCTTTCTACAGACTGCACTGTTTTAGCAATCCTATAAGATCATTGCAAATCACATTGTGCAACATGGATCTAATAAACTTGGATACGACGTGCATGCAGACTGTACGATGATGACACATAGTGACTCGCAGGCTACGATGCAAGTTACTATGAAAGAATAAAACGTCATTAGCATGCGCTAGTGGTAAACAAAAAGAGCTTGACGAAGCACAGTTTGGCAACCGTACTTTTTATGTTTGCTTATAAAAGGATGAAGCTGTGAAATAGGAAGTTAAAAGAGTTTGAGGTAAGCAGTTTTAGCTTTTAGCGCCATGACGCGTTGATCAACACGCCATTTCATGTCGCATTTTTATTGGCTGGTCAGTAAACGTGGGTCATAGCAGTAAACACACTGTGCGATGATCATGCTGAATTTCTGATACTGTCAGAAAACTATCGTAGGCAATCTTTGGCCGTCTTTGAACCTCTCTCACTGTACGACATAGGAGCACCGATTAGGAGCCACGATCACAGAAATCGTCACGATTGTTTTACGATGTCAATCTTTTGTTTGGGACAGCTGAAAACCATGCAGTTTGTAGAAGGCTTTAGTAAAAACACCAAACAGCGTTGTTATTGATAACTAAAACTATTATTAATAATTTTTGTTCATTGAAAAGAAGCTGAAATAAAGTAAAATATAAATATTAAATGACAAACTTAAAAAAATAAAAATTCGAAACATTAACTAAAATAAAATTGAAGTTGAAATACTAAAATTACTAAAAGTAAAATGAAAAGCTAAATATAAATATAAAAAGTAATAATAATAATAATTACAAAAAGCACATTACTTAACATTATTATATAACTTTAAAACTAAATTTAAAATCAAACTAAAAATAGACTAATAAAAACTGATTCGTAATTTGAATACATGCTATAGTAACTAAAATATAAGACTAAAATAGCTCTGAAACCAAAATGTCAATATCTATCTATCTATCTATCTATCTATCTAGTTTCATCTGAACAAAAAAAAAGATCCTAAAGGCTTTATTTTGTTTAGGAAAATGTATATTACATACAACAATAACAACAACAATTATTATTATTATTATTATTACTATTATTACAGTTTAGAGTAGAAGGCATTAATATGTGCTTTGTAAGCAATAAATTACATGCTAATTGGAAACTAGTTAATAGTGAGAATTGGTTCTTTAAATAAAGTGTTACAAAGAAGAAAAAAAAACGTATTTGTTCTAAATCCAACAGCCCTGTCTGCATGTTTTGTTTAGCAGGCAAATTTCAGTTCTGCCAGCATTAGATGTAGCACATTAGTGGGCTGCTCTTAGCCTGAACATGATCAGAGTAGCAGCGACTTCCTGTCTGGCACTGAAAACCCTCAGCTTAATCATGCCACATGTAAATGTCAGCACCCTGCGAACCCCTGAAGGGCACGGGCTGTCGGAACACATCGCAGGCAGCAGAGGGGTCAGAGGAAACGCCAGCCATATCCTGAAGGAGTAAGAAGGAAAGAGAGAGAGAGAGAGAGAGAGAGAGAATCAAGGTGTCCAACTACTATGGACTAGTTGAGCCACCTGCCAGGCAGTATTGCCGTAATACATTTTAAAACGTGCTAAGATGGACACAAACATTGAGAAGAGAGAGAAAAGATGGCAGCTGAATTCTATCGGAGGGTTGCTGAGCTTCAGCATACTCACTTTTATATAGAATGCATTAATATTTCATCATTTAACAGCAGTTTGCAGTATGACATTTTTCAGCTCTTTGCACTCTAAGAATTTAAAAAAAGCTTTACTTATATTTATATTCATATAAGCCAGATTTGAAATATGCCCAGCTGTTTGTGCAATGACAATTGCATTATGAACAGGGCAAATTAGTGTGAGAGAGCAATCCCATAAAGAAGCCTATGGGAGTGGAAAATTCTGCGGTTGATCTACTGATAATGTGCAAATTAAAGAATACAGACGCAGACAGATCATTTCCATAATGACCAACACAATCTACCATAATCAGTGCAAATTAGCATAGAGTCGCAAACAAGCAGAGATGATAATCAAGTGCGGGTCATTTATTAACAACACAGGTGCGAAATGGCTTAAGACTTGCTTTTTTGGGCATTAAACAATGGCACAAATACCAGTAAATTGATAGCCACAAACCTTAGTAAATCACTAAGCATGATTTATTTAAACCCTAAATTTTGCGTCTGAAAGGGAAACGCCTACAAATGCATAAGCAGTAAGGTCAGCTGCAAAAATAACTGTCTCCATGCCATATAAGGATTAACAACCTCAAAACACATAGTAGGTAACATAAGTTATTGTTTAAAAAAAATCTATTTCCCTATGGAGAACATGAATGGCATTTTTACTTCCAGAACCCGACTGTTGCACTTCATTGCCGTACTAGAATCTTATGCTGTCACCAACCAATTTTTCAACCCAACTGAAATCCCTCCACACACTCCGTTCTCAGACAAAGTGGTGCACCGTCAGTCAATTCGTGCCCTATCTCCAACAGCCAAGAAGATTGATTCAGAGGAAAGTGCCCTCACTTTAGCCATCAAGCCAACCCTCAAGTGCCAGTATCTATCCTGAGACCGATCTAGATTAACTCACTTTGAACTATGAACTATGTTCATCACTCCTCAAAGACATCAATCCCAGAGGCAGTGGAAGTATCCCACAGACAATTGTGGATACGTGCCATTATTAGAGCCCAGGAGACGATTAGGAAGAGAGAGAGGGAGTTGTTTGCAAGTCCAGGCAAACTCTTGTTTAAAGGGTTAGTTCACCCAAAAATTAAAATGCTGTCATTAATTACTCACCCTCATGTTGTTCCAAACCTGTAAGACCTCCGTTCATCTTCGGAACACAAATTAAGATATTTTTGATGAAATCCGAGAGCTTTCTGACCCTGCATAGACAGCAACACAACTGAAATGTTTCCAGACCCAGAAACGTAGTAAGGATATCTGTAAAACAGTCTATGTGACATCAGTTGCACAATTTCAGTTTTGTGAAGCTATGAGAATTCTTTTTGTGCGCAAAGAAAACAAAAATTACATAATTTATTCAACAATTCGAATAAATGCGCACACTTTCTCCTGAACGTAAACAACGCTGATTTGAAACTCTCCAAAATGGCGGAAGATGGTAACTCGAGGAGAAGAATTGTTGAATAAATTGTTATCTTCGTAATCTTTGCGCACAAAAAGTATTCTCATAGCTTTGCAAAATTTGAAGTTGAGTCACTGATGTCACATGGACTGTTTTATCAATGTCCTTATAAGTTTCTGGGTCTGGGAACATTTCAGTTGCGTTGCTGTCTATGCAGGGTCAGAGAGCTCTCAGATTTCATCAAAAAGATCTTAATTTGTGATCCGAAGATGAACGAAGGTCTTATGGGTTTGGAACAACATGACGGTGAGTAATTAATGACAGAATTGTAATTTTTTTGGGTGAGCTAACCCTTTAAGTTCCGAACCTTCTGAGAGATATTGATGGCATGCTTTCGGTGTGTGTCGTCTGTAGTTGTCCAATTACCCCCTTCCCATTGTTTAACCTGTCCCACCCTTTCTTGTCCCCCTTCTTCCCTGAAGTGTTCTTCATTCTCTATTCCCATAATGCTCTAGTGGTTTCCAAGGGAGACACAGGGGCCCTCAGTGTCCTCTTAATAACCACCACGCACCTTATAGACACAAACATAAGAAACCCTCCACATCTGCATCCCCGATTCCAGCTTCCCATCCTCTGTCCGAGTCGCAAGACACCGAGCAAACCCCTTGTGCCACGTCCACACGCAACACTTTGCGCATGTCTATTGTGATGTGTGTTCACCGGAGGGCTGATGGCGGTAGAAGGAGAACAGTCTTATAACATATGATGCTATCTCTGACTGTTTTCTAAACTAGGTGTCAATTCACAACAGGCTTCAGACGTACCAGCTCAACGCGGCACCGCAGAGCCCTGAGAGCACCGCCCTTCTCAACCACCAGAGGGAGCTCTTCCAGCAGCCTCCATTACAATGCGCCAGCCCCACCCCCTTACACTCCTACCAGCCCATGGCCCTGGCCGAGATACGACCCGACACGCTCATCCAGTGCCAGCAAATCGTCAAGGTCATCGTCTTGGACAAAGGCGGTCACGGACGCATGGAGGCGTACCTCAGCCAGAGCCCCACTCATCACCAGCTCATCCAGTCTGTCATCTCCACACCAGTGCGCTCACCTGATGGCGGAGGCAACCAGGGAGGAAACAACGACGGTTCACAACCGCCCTTGCCTCCACCTCCACCACCGTATAACCACCCTCACCAGTATATACCCCCTGATCCCCGCCTTGCACTGCAGAGGACCCCAAGTGGCTCTCGTAGCCTGATGTAGAGTTCAAACCAATAACTATAAAACACTCCAGGCACACTTTTGAGAGTATTTATCTGCATATGTATATATATATATGAAAGAAATATCATGAAAAAATGCTATCTATATGCATAAATTTAAGGTAAGAGACATTTATTGACTTTGCAGATATGTGAAACAATCAATAAGAAAATACGATTTACCTAATTGCTGTGTATTTTGAAACGTTATGTAGTTTTAACAAATTTCTATAACAGTTTTCGTCCTTCTGGACACTCTCTGAGGTTATATCTTTGAGTACTTGTTCTTGACAGAATTTGTTATAGACAAAATGATTTCACGAAAAAATGTGGCACCCGACAACATTCGTTTCAATTCCACCGACACTTGCTTTTGTGTGGGAGCTGGTTTTAAGTGTAAAGTCACCCTTTTTGGCTTTTATTATCCTATTGATGAGTCTATTTAGTGTGTGTGTATGCTTTTGACTGGAAAATGATATACGTGCCAAAATGAGGACTCCCTCCACCGTGAACTTTTTGCACTGTTGAACACTTAGGGCTAGAGCAAACATTTGTGCTTACAGCGGGGAAAAAAAGTATTTAGTCAGCCACCAATTGTGCAAGTTCTCCCACTTAAAAAGATGAGAGAGGCCTGTAATTTTCATCATAGCTATACCTCAACTATGAGAGACAAAATGAGAAAAAAAATCCAGAAAATCACATTGTAGGATTTTTAAAGAATTTATTTGCAAATTATGGTGGAAAATAAGTATTTGGTCAATAACAAAATTTCATCTCAATACCTTGTTATATACCCTTTGTTGGCAATGACAGAGGTCAAACGTTTTCCGTAAGTCTTCACAAGGTTTTCACACACTGTTGCTGGTATTTTGGCCCATTCCTCCATGCAGATCTCCTCTAGAGCAGTAATGTTTTGGGGCTATCGCTGGGCAACACGGATTTTCAACTCCCTCCAAAGATTTTCTATGGGGTTGAGATCTGGAGACTGGCTAGGCCACTCAAGGACCTTGAAATGCTATTTTTTTCTCATTTTGTCTCTCATAGTTGAGGTATACCTATGATGAAAATTACAGGCCTCTCTCATCTTTTTAAGTGGGAGAACTTGCACAATTGGTGGCTGACTAAATACTTTTTTGCCCCACTGTATATCAACGATCATTTAGATTCCCTCTACGTACACAGACATTTTAAAAAAAAATAAAAATTAACTTTTTAAGCGGTACCATTAGCCACAAACTGTTTCTTCCCCCACTTCTTATGTGGCCAATGTTGTATTCCTGTGAAATGTGAATTACTTCCTTACTATCACCTGTCTTTGAAAATGTATCTTTAAAAATCCTACAATGTGATTTTCTGGATTTTTTTTTCTCATTTTGTTTTTCATAGTTGAGGTATACCTATGATGAAAATTACAGGCCTCTCTCATCTTTTTAAGTGGGAGAACTTGCACAATTGGTGGCTGACTAAATACTTTTTTGCCCCACTGTATATCAACGATCATTTAGATTCCCTCTACGTACACAGACATTTTAAAAAAAAATAAAAATTAACTTTTTAAGCGGTACCATTAGCCACAAACTGTTTCTTCCCCCACTTCTTATGTGGCCGATGTTGTATTCCTGTGAAATGTGAATTACTTCCTTACTATCACCTGTCTTTGAAAATGTCTTTTATGTCAATCCTTTTAATGGAAATACGTAAATTGAGAATGTAGAAAGTATTAAGGCTCTTTCACATGACTCACGTCAACATTCCCCGATGTGTTGGCACACAGGTCAAATGGTACAACATGACTCTCAAAATTAAGATGATTTCAACTTTGACCTCATTTGCTGCTGATCTTTTTAAATATAACCCAGCGATTACCAGATCATTTGCATGATTTATCTTCATGTGAGCAGTGCCAATGCAAAAATGAAAACAAGACAGATGAGAAACATTGTACAAGACAACATCAAAAGCCATATCTTGACATTTTTTGGGGGGGCATTTAAAGCATGCATTATTTGCATGTGCTGTCTTTATTGTTTTAGTACCTTGGCATAAATATTGCCAAAAAATAGTATCAAACCCATTTTTTATGCCACAATCCCAGCGTACTTCCACAATATGGTATGCTTCAGGACATCATTGCTTTTCCACAGTGATTCAGTGGACTTAATTGACTCCAGTTGACTGATTAAGAATAAATGGCCATTTATGACACCCCTCACCATGGTTTGATCATCTTAATGACTACATTATGGCTGCCTTGATCTCTAAAAATGTACAATTGCAAGCAAATAGCATGAACTTTTTGCAAATTACTCGCATTCTATGAAAAGTATCAACTGAATAGAAGTGACGGAAATAATTACATTAATTTAGATGCACATGGCACTAAACCAGCTCATATAGACAGTATTTAATCTGGATTTTGAGTGGTTAGTGAATGAGAGACAGGTTTTTGTGCTGAAATGTTAGTGAAATTGCTGAAATGCCAGCAGTCGTTCTATGATGTAGCGGTGCAAACAGTGGGACTTTTAACCTGTTTAAATTTCAAAAATGTGTTACCTCTTCCGTTGGCTTTCACTAAGTTCACTATTTACTACCTAGCAACCTCGTGAATTTGCTTTTGTCTTTGAAGGTCAAACTTCATAGAGAATTGGTTGTGTTAAAGCCCTGACATGAGTCATGTGAATGGACCTTTAATATGTGGCAATGTATCATGGCTCAATGATAGAAAAAAGAGCTAGTCACAGCCAGTGAATGGCTATTGTTCTCACGCTCAGGAATTTAAGAGAGTACCTGAAAGAAGACTGAGATCTTTTAATGCTTGTACTTGAACATTATGTAGCAACTTGGAACACCCTTGGGAAAAGGCCATTTGATCCCAGCAACCATCTTTGGACACAATATGTGTTTGTCTGACTTTCTGTGAAAAGATGACAGAATGTTTTATCACTGTCATCACATGACTCAGACATTGTTACATGGTCTCATAGTGTTATTCCTTCATCAATACTCACAACTATATAAAATGCCCAAGAGACACCCTTCAACACCATCAAACTATCTCTGCCGTTTGACTCCTAAAACTCTTGTCTGAAGCTTTTCGAGAGCCAAGTGACACTTGAAACATCAACTGAGATGCACATTGTTGGCACAACACACTTTAACCTGAATGTTTGACTGGTTTGGTCTGATTTTATCAGCTGAATGGAAAACTGATCAATGGTTTATTTTTGTTTTGCTTGTATGTAGCTATCATATATCAGCATATAAAGCAGCAATGAATTAGCACTGAAAAATGGTAACTACCCACAATTCAACCATTTTTAATAATGGTTGTCATCAACATAATTAAAGTCAACATGAAACATAATTCACCACCTATTTTGCATCCACAATATAATGTGTTAAGGGTGTGTAAAGTGAAACATAATATTTAATGAAAAATATGGGACTAAATATTTGAAAGTGGATGCCAGGAATGTGTATTCATTTGATTTCATGTTGACTTTAAGCTCTAGGATTTATCGTAACACCATTGGCGTGTCATAAGTAGCTGTGTGTCCTATTTCCTCTGTTTTCTTATATGATTGTTTTGTAATTATATCACTGCTGTTTGGAGCTCCCAATCTTGTTTCATCTTCTCATTGTGTCTTTATTTCCACATATGGTGATGATTTAGGATGATGGACACCAGTTGCTTCAAATATATTGGTGAGAAACTCAACACAGTCGATCGCACAACCTGGACATCTTCATATTTTATATCCCTCTCTTCTTAAAATCTGCTCCAAAAAAACATGAACTGTCCAGCCTTTCTCAATTAATGAATATTGAATCATTTTGTTTCCATACGTTTAAAGGGGTCATATGATGCGATTAAAATTTTTCCTTTCTCTTTGGAGTGTTACAAGCACTTGGTGCATAAAGAAGATCTGTAAAGTTGCAAAGACTAAAGTCTCAAATCCAAAGAGATATTCTTTATAAAAGTTAAGAGTCAGCCACGCCTACCTAAAACGGCTCGTTCTAACACACCCCCACATGTCTACGTCACGATGTGGGAAGATTTGCATAATGCCGCCCAAATGTTCACGCAGAGAAAGAAGGCGTAACTTTTATTCTCGCTGTAGTATTGTTGTTGCTGCTGGCCCCATGTCGTGAAGGCGCTGTGTTTTGTTGTGAAAGCGAAACTACTTTGTTTGGCCTTCCAAAAGAGGACGATATCCGCTTTGTCATGCCTAGAGCTGATCCGTGCTGGTCGCTGAGGAAATACATCATCAACTTCGCGATGTCGATCGCCGGATCGGCTTTCACCGTGAACGAAGCGGAGTCCAGCCCGGGGTCGTCACATGTGGTTGCCGCAAGCCCGCCGGACGCTACTTCGTCGAATCCGCCGGCCGTGCCGTTCTCAAACCCGCCTGCCTCTGCTCACTCAAGCCGGCCTCCGCATACGCTAGGCTGCTGCTCACTCAAGGCCGCGGTTTGTGACGCTGTTTCGTTGTGAAAGCGAAACTACTTTGTTTGGCCTTCCAAAAGAGGACACGACTAGAAATCAGTGGTTAAGTTGTATTTACAACACTGTTCAGATGTGTCCAGCAGTTTTTTTTATGGAGGATGTTTCCTGATCCTGGGAGAGTAGACTACAATGC